GTAAACTGAATGCGAAAGCGTACCTGAATACGAAAGCATACCTGAATTAGCCATAACGATGATGTCTTTGTAGAACACTATATTGATCTTATGGTCTTCCACCTGAAGAGCACCTGTATTTCCCTCTTGATTTTCTCTCTTGATGGCGATAGAAAGAAAGGAACGGGACTGATTCTGTGTGTGTGCTCCCAGAAGGGGACCATGACCCTTTAGATAACCAGAATTAGGTTAATTACTTAAGTTTTAATATTTTCAATTTGGCCCCTCATCAAATTAGAAATTGCTCTATGGTCTCTACACAATTTTATTTTCATGACATATGCCTTTAGCCAAAACTTTAATTTAGTCAGATCACTTTATTATTTGGCTTAATAAATAATGACCCTAGCACATTTAAATATGTATCATATATATACATGACCCAAAATTTGCCAACCGTTATTGGTATAGCAGTCAACTTGACCGTTTGAAGTTGATAAAGTGATTATATTTAATATGAATATATGAGAAGTGGGTGTGCTTGGTCGTGTTCTTATGATGTAAGCAAATCATAAAAGTGTGGCAATCATTAAAGTTACCCAATCTCAGCTCATTAGCTATTGCTTTTCTTTCCATTAATGTTGATTAATCCTATCCTACTTTCAGGTAACGGATGAAGTTAATCCTGCCCTGGCTACTGTATCACTAGTGCAAAAAGGGGCTTTTACGTCAGGTATTTAGGGTTTTTTATGTCGTATTTAAGTCCGACGTTAAAGTGGGAGACGTAAATTTACGTCGGACCCTTTTGCCCGACGTAGATTTACGTCAGTTATCAAGATCCGACGTAGATTTACAATAAACAGACGTAAAAACCTTTTCAATTTAAAAAAAAAACAGAAAATTTACGTCGTATATGGTATGGTATACGCGACGTAAATTTACGTCGCGTATTGGTATATGCGACGTAAATTTACGTCGCGTATACCATATGCGACGTAAATTTACGTCGCATATACCAATATGCGACGTAAATTTACTGTTTTTTTTTTAAATTCGGTTTATTTATTCTGTTTTACAACTAAAACCTGCAAATAGTAATCCAGACAGTCCAGAGGTTCAGTTTTCTTTAGCTAGTAAATTAAAAATATAATATTATATAATTCAAACTACATAATAAAACAATATAATACAAACATACAAACTAAAAAATCTATTACAAACTAAGCTACCTATACAAACTAAGCTACCTATACAAACTAAGCTACCTATACAAACTAAACTAAACTACATAATACACACAATATAATATGAACAAGAACTTAAAAAATAATGTACTAGAATTGTTGAACAAAAAATTTTGCCCATTGTTCTCTAATTTCCGTAATCTCGGATTCTCGTATTGGAGATGGATCTTGAAATACCGAAACATGAATTTGACTCTTGTAAGCATGCAACATGAATAAAGTTAAATAAACTTAACTAATGTTAAAAGTAATTACCTCCGTCCAAGAATCAATTAAACCCGCACAAACTATGGCTCTCATCCAATACATTACATAATAACCACATTCAAACGAGTCGGTTTGCTTATTACACTGAAATGATGAAAAAAACATAATATTATTTTCAAAATTGAAATACAAACAATAATTATGGTATTCACTTATATAAATAAGTTTCTAACCTTAGGATAAATGAACTGCAAAGTCTTTGTTCTAGGTTTTCCACTTAGAACATTAGTTCCGGATACACGATTCTAAGTGAAAAAAAGTCATATATTATTCAATATGTATTCACAATTTAAAAACATAATTAATGAATAAAAAGTCATATATCATTTCTGTACAATATACAATCATTAGGACATGCATGTATTTTCTTGTACTCTAAACCCATTGGACATAATATCTTCTTTGCCTCATAGTTACGAATAGGTAATGTATTATCTTCAGGAAGCATCTCCTTCAACAACTCCAATAATTCGGTGAAACTTTTATCGAGTCCATCCATTTCTTGCTTTTAAAGTAAACAATTTTAAAGTTGCTGATAATCTTGTAAAACTACATCCTATGTACAATTGTTGCGCAAAATCAGATTTCAAAGAATCATATAGATGTGCTTTCATAAAATGTTCTTCACCAATATCACGTATCATATCCTCTAGATTATCATCCATCCCTTCATCAAAATTGTCTGTAGTTGACACAGTTGGGATGTCTAATATTTCTCCATGCCATGTCCATATTGTATAACTCTTAATAATACCATAAACAAACAAGTGATCACGTATATCCTCAAGTTTATGACGAATTTGATTCAAACAACGAACACATGGACAATAATATGTCCCTTTCATAGCTTTTCCATTTTCACTAGCAAATTTCAGAAATTCCTCAACTCCCTTTTCGTACTCTTCACTAATACGACGTGCATTCATCCAACTTCGATTCATATTATGTTATAAAGTTTCGTCACTCCTAAAGATTTAAAAATTATATGTAAAAAAAAATTAATATACAAACAACAAAGCACGTTCCAACAACAATGGAGTGTGTAAACCGAATGCACTCAAACAAATAAACAAATAACTACATTCCAATAACAATCCAAGTGGAGACATTCATACTATAACGTGATTGAGATCCCCAAAAACAATCACGGATTCAATGTAAACATATAGCAATGACAATGAACACTAACCTCGAGTGTAGACGAAAACTGATTTCAAACTCGAATCCAATCGGGGAGAAAGATGAAGTTCGTCAAATGACACGCCAATGTAGATGCTTTTCACTGTAAAGCCGCTCGCAAATGGTGTGCAGAGGTAGTCGTTGTCGTCGTTCTCGTCGTCGTTCTCAAAAACCCCGGTTGCGCGAGACGAGGAAGTGGGTCGGGAGGGAAATAAAATAGACTTTTTACGTCGCGCAGTGCAGCAAGCGACGTAAAAAGTCATCTTTTACGTCGCACCTGGGAGGCGCGACGTAAAAGGCTATCTTTTACGTCGCACCACCTAGGTGCGACGTAAAAGATGACTTTTTACGTCGCATATTGGGGTGTGCGACGTAAATTTTTTGTCTCATATTTACAAAATTACCACCGCGTTTTATTTACGTCGAATATACGTGCATGCGACGATAATTGGGTGACGTAAAAGCCCTATTCTGCACTAGTGTATATCGGTATTTCATTAATAAACTATAAACACTTAAAAGTGATTTGTGATGAACATAATTACTTTTTATTGATTCATGATAAGAAAAGTATCAATACATTCTTAAAATTTAAGGTAGAGCAAAAGAAGCACCTACCTAGTTGATTACAGTATATTGGCATTAACTTTATTGATTGTCACAATCGTAATACACTCAAACACCATGTGTTGCGCCAGACTGCGTAGGATAATATACCTATCGCTATCAAAGACAGGATCAAGGATGTCAATTCGGCGAAATCTTTAAGTAGGCTTGGTGCTTCTTTTCATCATTGCAAGCCTAACCTGCTTTAGATAATGGATGAAATCCAGATCCATGTACGTTAGTGCATGTACCTTCTCCTGTTAAGTTTTCATATGATCAAAATAGATGGGGTCATTTTAAAAATTAAACACTTCAACTCAAGACTAGGATCCATTTTGTTGTAGTATTAACCTTACTGCTGTGTCGTTTCAATGCAAGTACTATTGAATTTTTTCAATACTTCCCATTGATCGTCGTGGTACAAATAACGTGTGGGAGACATTAAGATCGCACTTGTCGTTGGGTATTATGCGAAAGAAAAGATCATGGAAGGTTGGAGTCATAATAATTGAAGGAATAATTTGCCAGCTTTAACCATGTCTTTGTTAGGTTTCCTTCTTCCTTCAAGGTCTGTTTATCTTACTTTAATTCTTCTGTTATACATGGAAGAAAATGCTTATAAAAAGTATAAGTGGATATTTATTTTCAATAGGGAAGCAGGAGATGCCTAACTCCCCAAATTATTAGAAACAAAATAAATGAAAAGAAGTTTCTAAAGGTACATTTTTTTTAGCAGTTTCCTTATACATCTATCATTCACTCCCACCTTCCAATCTAGCTAATATTTTGTGAAAGTGCCCATACACAATGGTTCTCTATTTTGAACGTGGACACGGAATTTGAACTTATATTGCAAATTTCTGAACCGGCATATCCACCATGTTTTGTCGACCATTTTTCCACGAAACTTTGTGCTGTTTGCTTTCTTCTTACTTAAAACGGTTTTGTTTCTTAAAACCATGTTAGTAACATATTATTTTAACCGTATTTTTATTTGCATACTTTTTCAATAAATTTTAATGATGAATGAATATGCGTCGATCAGAATATGTTGTGTTGTATACATTTAGTTTGACCAGAAAATATGTAAATTATTCCAATTATTGTTATATAAATAGAAAGATTGAGACTTTGATATTTTGTAGCTGTTAGCAAATGACAATTTTAAAAATGTATGTTAGAAGAGTGGTGGTTAATTGGTGTGATTGTTTACCATATATATGGTCCATGGTATGTCTATTCTCCGGGGGCCTGGGGAATAATACGTTTATAAATTGACAGATAGACTTGTTAATTATGTATCGATCCATTTGATGTTCATTTGTATATATGTGAAAGCACTCGATGGATATGGATTTGAGTAGGTGTGTTATGTATATTAAATTTGAGAATATTATTTGACTATTAATCTTTACATACACTACCAGTTTGGGGCCTGCATTTAATTATCATTAATGGCATCCGATTTGTTGTCTATATGGCATTTCATATATGAAACTGACATTTCATTAATTTAGGATAAACACACTACACACTTTTGCGTTATACATGGCTCACCATAATCCTTAAAGTTGATACGTGGCCAAGCTAATAAAACCATGGTGTACATATGGCATTATCGATCGATATACATGATGATACTACATGTGGAACTTGAGATCCTCCAAGACAACACATTCAAGATGAAGTTGATTTGGGCGGTGTAGAAAACATATGTAGTTGTTTTCAAACCAAGCATCGGTGGCCGTTTTTATCAACTTGTTCGGTTCCAACGATGCTTTGTCGTACCTTGAATGAAAGGGAGGATAGTGAAAATGGAAAACCAGGGTGTTCCGTGTCCCTAATCACATTGTAAGACCATGCTGCTAAAACTGCCCCAGTAATTGGTCCAACAAAATATACCCAAAGTCCCTTGTAGGATGAAACTGCAATTGCAGGACCTAATGTCCTTGCTGGGTTCATTGATCCCCCTGATATTGGTCTGTATAAATGGACATCACAACAACAATAATTTTCAAAACATTTGTTTCTGTCATGCATCTATGTATGTCTCTCACTTTCAACTCAAGCTACGTAGCTTCCTCAACATATAGCCTTTGCCTTTTTAAACTTTATTTTCCCTGTGCTCATGTAATTCCTGTAAAGTAAAATTGTGTTTGTGTGTGTTCGTGCGATAAACACTTGCTTTTTTTTTTTCTTTCTTGAACTTACCCGGCAACAATGCTTGCTATGCAAACAGAAGAACCTACTGCTACTCCTGATAGCTGTCCTGTCTGCAAAATTGCAACATGTAAAGCTTAGAGGCATGTTTCATATTTGGATAATGTGATTGAAAGTTATAACAAATTTAGGTTATGTTTATTAATCTTTTATCATTTTGAGTGACACAATTCTCTCCTTGTTTTCAAATGGTTTTCTGTTTTTGAAGACTTGTAAAAACACTTTCTCATAGTAAACATATATCCTTGAAAACTCCAATTAACGTTTTTTATATTTAAATATAAAATATTCAGCTAAATTACAGTGATTCTTACAGCGTTTGTGTCAGTGGCCACGGCCATGGAAATGAACACCATGGTGAAAGTTGTCACCATTTCCATGATTAGTGCTTGAACATGTGATCCAGCAGGTGATGTTGCCCCAATTTCCTTTGATGGCTGGAAAAGCTCTCGCAATGTGTATGCAGCAGAAATGGCTCCAGTGAGTTGAGCTGCTACGTAAAATGGGAGCTGCAAGAGAACCATTGTGTTAGTTATGTGTCTGGGTACAAAGTGTCTAAAACCACAACTTGTTCACGAAATAAGCTGGCCAAAGTGCCCAAAAATGAAAAGGAATCAGCATTTAATAACTTTCTTGTTACCCCATATAGCCAATTAAGCTAGACTTTTATCTGCAAAGAATTTATTCTATGTTCAAGTCCTACTTGTTGACTGTTTCTATTGACATTCTTGTCATCTTGTGTCGGCTCCAAATTGAGTTAAACCTATTAATATTACTTCTCACAGAACACAAATAATGACCAAAATGTTAAATTATCATAGAGAACCAGTACATGGGGAGGTATCTGTTCTTTTAATATAAATTATTCTATCACGTTTTAGTAACAAATATCTTGAGAACATTAGTTGAAGAATATCTAATTATCTTACCGAATGTTCTTGATTCAAAATGAACAATAGGCCTTCTTTCACTAAACGTTTTTAATGTTTTGTAAACAATAACTACAGGTGATTTAATCTGCATTATTTGGGGGCAGAAGGGTGGTTCGTATCCTCATCACATATGGTAGGGACATAGATTCATGAGGGATTTGTGGTCCACATATTTAATGAACATTTCAGATTGTTTCTGGCTGCAAATGCATACACATTACCGTGGGTCCACGCCGAGGCGTGAACTTGACTAGTACCTGTTTTTTCTCTTGGCTGAACCCTTTTGATGCAGACTTTAACCATACAAAGTGAGTCTCCTTGGTTTCAATATCATTTTGATGAGATATTTCCCCCTTTTATTATTATGAAATTTTTATATGTTCCACAGGACATTTTGAAATCAAAATGATATGGCTTGACAGTATATATATCACACTACAACATACAAAAATAGTTTATGATGATTTTGTGAAGAGTTTGTTTTTGTGCAATTATGATTTGGAAAATGAAGAGTATACAGTCATCATTTGCAAATACTCAAGGGGATAAAGAGATAGGATTAAATATTAAATATATAATATGATAAGAAGAAAAACCAGATAAAAATAATGAGAATCAATTGGGTGTATCGACTAATGAAATGATCATACTAATCATTTTCGTTCTTTATATGCCAATCATGAGAAATAGTGGACTATTATTTATAATACACAACCCATCCAACGTATACCAGTTATTACATTATTGTGGTTTCTAGCTATTTTTAATCATTGTATTACACAACCCAACTAAGGAGGCAGGCATTCATTGGCGAGCGTTTTTAAAATAAAAATTGCACGGTGAGGAACCTCGAAGCACTGGTCAACCTAGCTTGTTAGTGTGTACTGTGGATTTGAAGATTTAATGTAATATTAACCTTCAATTATTAGTGACAAAATTCGAGACAACAATGACATATTTGTCTCAAGTGTACAAGTTACACATCTTACGTGTAAGATACAGAGACTAACAAATCAAATTAAACTGTCTGATTATCTCAGAAAATCAGTGAAGAAAGTCAAGTATAAACTTCATTCGACTTTAAAAACACTGGTTCTAGACTTGGTGAAACTGATTCGAAATCTGTCTAGTGGACCTTAAAACAATGATATATCATGTAAATTTTTCGTATCAGAGAAGATGTATTAGTTTTTAAAACATTACTAAGGATAACATTTTCAAGGAGTTTTTCTGAAAGTATTCTCTAAAAAATTATAGAAACAGATATTTTCTAAATTAAACATTTTATAAAAACAATAATAACAACAAAATTTGAACACTCGAACCCTTCGTCTTGATGTCCACTCTGATGAACTATTTTTAATCAATTAAACTAAACTAAACTAAACTAAACTCAACATTCTCTTAATCGGCAATATTTTCAAACTCATTCTAACTGTAGTTACCAATCTCCATCGTGATTGTAAAAACAAAGGAAAACAAACCCCTCAGCTCATGAGTAGTAAAACACAAAATTGTGACCATGGAGACGTGTGGAAACCAATATCCTATATCTATCCACCACAGTGAAGAAGATGACATTATACATAGAAATATCAATTATTATTATTATTGTATAGGGACAAGCTTTTGAGAAAAAGAAAAATCTCTTTATACGGACGCACCTGTGGCCACGGAAAATGCCTCACGGCAGCAAAAGCAAGAGAAACCGCAGGATTCATGTGTGCCCCAGAGATGTGTCCAATTGAGTAAATCAGCACTGTCACTATGAGCCCTGCTGCAAGTGAAGCTGCAAGCTTTGACACCCTGCTCTCATCAATGACACTAAGACCAGCAGAACCACTTCCCACGAACACCAACAGAAATGTTCCTATAACCTCGGCAAACACCTGCCACATCCAATGGCTCCATATTTATCATCATCGTGTTCACATTTGCAACAATCAAATCAAATATACCAAACCAAACATGAGTTCGTGTGTCTTGTATTACTAAATTTCTGGACCCATAGGCCGATTATAATGGTTTATACAGGTTTATGTGTCATGGCACAAACTGCTTCAAAGAATGTATAATAAAAAGAAATGAAGATAACATATGTGTAGGTTGGTTACCTTTCTGGGAAAGCCAGGCGGGTAACTTTGTGCGATTCTTGCAAGAGAACCAGGGGCTGGTGATATCTCGGAGGTGCTTGGACTAGATTGGTCGATGGTGTTAGTGATGAAGGTAAACGTGTTCTGGCTGGTACCTTCCATTGTTGGTTATTATGAGGTGGCCAGTATGTGAGAAATGTGAAGTCTATGTTAGCTATGTATGGCAGAAGTGGATGATTAAAGGGGGGTTTTATAATGTCAGAGAAATGAATGTAAGTTGTAACTCTTCATTCATGTATTGCACATGGTGAGTAAGTAGGTGCGGGAAATAAAAATTCCTAAAGAGTAGACCGTGAAGTTGGGTGACATTTCGATTACGTCATTCACACCTTCGCCGGCCTTTCCCACGCACACATTTCATCCTCTCTCCTTCAATGTCCCCCCTATATTATATTGTTAAAGGGGTGATATTAATATAATAATTTATAGAATAATTTAATAAAAATAAAATTAAAGAAAAATTATTATTATAATATTAAAAGAGAGTTGTTATTAATATAATAATTTATAGAATAATTTAATAAAAATAAAATTAAATAAAATTATTATTATAATATTAAAAAAAGAGTTGTTTATAGGAGTGGTAAAAATTTAGATTATCAAAGTATCATTTTATATTTTGTTAACCAGTAATACTTTTCATCATTTTTAATTTCATATAGATTTACTTTGTTTTTATTATTTTAAAAAGTTTTTAGTTTAGGGAATTTAGTCACTCCTTTGCATATATTTATTTCATGTAGCATCTTCGCCCAAATTAATTTTATTTTTTTATTCCAACTAGAGGAAGTGGTGGACGAGAGATAGAACGTATGAGGGGAACTAAACCACGGGTTACTGATATATATATATATATATATATATATATATATATATATATATATATATATATATATATTTTAAATAAAATAATGGGGAAGTCGTGGACAATAGTATCCTTTTCGAACAACTTTGGGAAGAAGATACAAGAAGGAAACAGAGTGCTTATGGACAAAAGTGTTTTGGGTTTTTTAGTTTGTCTTCAGTTAGTTAAATTATAATTCTATTATCTTAACTAACACTTCAAATAAGCTTTGTATTTTATATAATATAATAGATGATGTACATTCATATCCTCTCAATTAGTTAATATTAGGACCTGGTAAATTTGGTTGATATTTTGGTCTTCAAATATCATGAAAGCATGATATGTTACTTACTCAACAAAACATTTCAATACTTTAGTATGAATTTAACTCATCAATATAAACATTCAATTTTGTTCCTTCTTCGTTTTATATTAAAATCTAAATCATTTAAACTAGTGTTGATCTTTTTTTGTTTAATATCTATATATATTCTCTTTTACTTCACATGTTTAGTTTATTTTTTATTTAATTTTCTTCTTGACTTTCACTTACCTTTGGTATGTTCTTATAAATTTAACAAATTGCTTCTTTGATTAATTCATTTCTTAAATCATCAACAAGTAACCATAATCTCATCAAATCATACTCTCATCCCTTCCTGTTAAATAGATGACTGAAACTGCAAAGAAGGGAAAGGAAAAAATAATAATAATAAAAATAGGAGACCCTTGCTAGAACTATAAATACTCTATTCTCTCTATTGTACAATCAATAATAATTTGAGTGATGGAGTCCCTTTCTTAAATTAGCAAGTTGTGAATATAATTTCAATTACATTCTTATTTATTATTTGTTCTTTTCATATTATTAAAATGTGGTAAGTATACATATATAAAATTTTAAAATAGAAAATACCTTATATTTAAAATTAATTTTAATAATAATATTATCATTGACATAAAATGGATAGACTATCTTCTATAGACAAAACACTATTTAACCAATTCTACCAATAAAAATATTTGGTGTTCATTTTAGAATTAAAAATAGAGTTTCCATTTTTTTTACTTTTAATACATATAAATAAAGCAAGTCATCGGTTGAAGATGAGACTATCACTTTTTTTTAATAAAAGAAGAAATTATACTTATAAAATCTTATCTACTGGTCTACGACTAATAAAATAATATATTTCTTGACCTTTTAATGCATAAATAGACCATGTCATTAGTTGAATAAGAGAAAGTTAGTGGGAAGAATGGAATAGGAATAAAAAATATAAGAAAAACAAATACAAGAACGAGATAGGGAAGGAAAATAAAACTATAATCACGTCTTATTTAGATAAATAAAAAAATGGAGATTTTTTTTCGTTTATTTAATAAGTGAAAGTGAAAGTTAAGATAATATATTTTATACAAAATTATATTAACTAAAAAAGTTGAAACCAACAAAAAAAATCTCAATATCAAATTATTTTCTATTATGTCATCAAAGTTTTTTTTTTTAAATTAATTATTAAAAATTAAAACAAAAAATGTAAAATAGGAACTTTCAAATTTTCCTTCAATTCCACGATAAACTTTTATTTTGTGAGTTCCAGAAAAATAATTCAATTTTTTCCATTTGTCTTACCGTAAAAGATTTAAACATTACTTATCTGTCTTCACAGTTATATTTAATAATATAGGGTAGGAGTACAACAAGCATAGTTTGATTAATTCGTGTCGACAACGACTTCATGAGAAAATAGAAAATGAGGAAGAGTGGTTGCTTTCTATTGGTTGGACGGTTAATATTTTAGCTTACATATATGCATAGGGATGGCTACGAATGTAAAAATTACTATTTCCGCGCGGATAAAATTCGTCACAATAATTGTTAAATAAATATTTGTGAATAGTGGGTATAATTATTTTAATTATCTATTTATTAATAGAATTAGTGTGATAATTATTATTTAAGTTATTAAAATAAAGTTATTAATAGAATTAAAATTTATATTTTTTATTCAAATTTATGAAATTAAAATTATTTTTAAAAAATTAATATTACTTAACAAGTGACTACGAGTTATAAACGGATATTTTTTTACGAAACAATTAGCAGGTAGATACTATTTATATTTGTCTAGTCTTATGACAAATAAACGTGAGTTTAAATTCCTTCTAAATCAAAAAATTAAGAATGGAGAGGGATGATACCAATCTCGATTTTCATTTTAAATCTAAATTTTAAAAGATTAATCTTTTAAAAATATTTTTTTTCTTACGTTATTGTTGAATTATTGGAAAACGCACTAAAATTATCAATCACAAGTATAGTATTTCGATTAAATAAAAGTCAATCCCA